GGTAAAAGGGGGCTAACAAAGTATCAGAGAAACAGATGGACTACAGTCTGTAATTGTAGAACTACAAAGTGCACCTATATAGTAAGTGGAGCTGATAAAATGGACAATGAGCGTAGAAACAAGGAGGTGGTCATAATGTTATACCTGATCGCTGTATATAAGTGAGGTACACGGACTGTCTCATCTGCACTGCATGCTAAAATGACCACAGATAGCAGCCTCTTTCCTCTCACCACCCTCTGCACATCTGTTTTATCAGTCTGATAGGAAACAAATAATTGTTTATGAAATGAAATGCTAACGAAACGCAAGCGATTGACATCTTGCAACGAGCAATGAGGCTTTCAGAGTGTGTTCAGTTCATTTGCATATTTGTGAGCCCCATGGCCGCCTGTAAGACTGGTGTTTAAAGCCTTTGTTTAGTTACTAAATGTTTACTGTTATTTCAGGAATGTGTTATGTATCACTTGGACCACAGAGTAGGTGATGGTTGTGTTAAAAACCACTGGGAGACCAACAGGCTTTGTTCAGTTTCCCAGCTGGGCTGTAAAGAGGATAAAATAACTTTTAATGAGGTCCATATTGCAGAAATCTGATCTATTTCACACCAAGGTTTTCACCCCTTCATTAGTCCCTTATGTGCCTATTTTATTTGTTTGTTTTCCTCTGTTCTTCCATAAACTGTGATCACTGATCACTGATCATAAACTGTTGTGACTTTTCAGCTAAAAATACGTTAAAGCCTATATACTAAATCAGTGGATAGTGTCGCTTTGGTTTTGTTAGGGCACTAAGTATTATCATTAATAATAATAAGAAGAATAATAAGAATATTTTTTCTAACTAAATCAAGTTAGCTAACACTTACATTGTAGAATACAAGCTACCATCAGCCTAAGTTGATTTTATATACACTTTATGGCCAAAAGTCTGATTTCAGCTGTTTCAGCCACATGCATTGCTAACAGGTGTATAAAATCAAGTACATAGCCTTGCAACGCCCATAGTCAACTCCAGTAGAATCGGTTGTTTAGAAGACCTCAGTGACTTTAAACATCACTATCATAGGATGTCACCTTTGCCAAAAGTCAGTTTGTGAAATGTCTGCCCTGCTAGATCTGCCCCTGCCCACTGTAAGTGCTATTATTGTGAAATGGAAGCATCCAGAGCAGCAACACCTCAGCCATGAAGAGGTAGACCAGGCGAACTCAAAGAGCACTAGAGCTTGTAGGGTAAAAAATCGCCCAACCTCTGTTGCATTACTCACTACAGAGATCCAAACTGCCTCTAGGAGCAACATCAACCCAAGAACTGTGTGTTGGTAGCTTCATGATGTGGGTTTCACTGCACAGTTTCACACAAGCCTGAGATCACAAAGCGCGATGCATCAGCTGGAGTGGTGTCAGGCACACCGCCACTGGACTCTGCAGTGTTCTCTAGAGTCTGCTGGGCAAATCTAAGCTTTGGTAGATGCCAGGAGAACACTAGCTACTAGAATGCTGTCAGTCAAGCATGTCATTGATCCATATGAAAACTTTTTGCTTTTTGGTAAAATTTTCCATTTTTAATGTTGAGCATATGGCTTGTGAAATGTGTAGATTGAAAGAGTTTTTCATTTTGATCCTTGTTGTCAACAAGGAGAATTTTGAAGAAGAATCACCCTCCCCAGCAGCAGATCATGGACATTTACATTCACATATAATGGTTTTAGACAAGTGACACGTGAAACAGTTTAAAAAATGATGAAGTTGGTTTCATTTTGTCTTCAATAGCTTTTGCATGGCAGTGGAAAATGCTAATATGACATATATTATTATAACAAATAGGTAATTGACAACTGATGAAGAACACATTGATTTATATGAACTGTATGCTGAGAGTTAAATAACTGTGTACAAATCACACTGCAAGTGGCAATCAGCGGGGTCCAAGCACTGCACACCTGTAGTTAGTGTATGTCTGCTAGAAGTTGCAACACAAATGATGGTCAAAGTTTTAAGAATGGCCTGTTTATAAAAGGTAAAAGCAGAAAAACAGATTTCTGCCATTTTGTGCACAATGATATTTTAACCTTGGTATGGTAAGCAATAGATTTTTAAGTCCAAATCTAAGTTTTCAAGTCTCATGGAAAGCAGTTGGAAAGCAGTACAATTATTTACATGACTATGGCCCCATTATGGCCCCACCTTATAAAAGTCCTAGAATCACCACTGAGTATTGGGGTAATGATGCATTTAGTGGGCATTTAGCGTGGATTTACTTTTGCACATTTGAGAAATGGGACACACTTGGACACTAATACGGTACTTTGTAATTATCAGAAAAAAAATGCTTTCACTGGCACCGTCCTTGACTGATCCACAGGTGGCCACAGTGCTAATTAGAAGATATATCAGCCAATCACTACTATGTGTTTGCATTTATTGTGGAGGGAAAAGTTCATGATTTTGCTCACAGTTGGAGTTAAGCTCTTATCTTATTAGGTGTCAGTCATGTTCTTGGCATGCGTTACGGTTATATAACAGATAAATATCCCCCCGCAGTTTTCAGGCTTTCACAACACAAGCATGCACACTCCTCCCTAAAATAAAAAAACTGATTGTTAATGAAAGCCAGAGGTGATAAATACAGCCTGTACTTTCACGAGAACTGGCAACACAAATAACCACCAAGGACATTAACAACACTTTTTACCACATAAAATTCACAGTTTTTGATCATATTCCTCATATTTGTTAACCACAAATGCACCATACAGTCAAAACATAGGTTCTTTGGAGTGATGCCACATAAGAACTACCCTACATTCCCTAAAAAGCTTGAATGGATTGTTCACCTTGCTCACTGGCTTCTAGTGTATTATGAGTGTCCTTTGAGTCAACTGGTGTTTTGTTCTAATAATGAAACTGGTTTAAATTATTGTAGATTGCCTGGTTACACTAATAAGACTCCTTGGGCAAGACTCCAAATTCTCTCTGTCTACCACTGTCACATGATTAAACTGTAAGAGGCTCTGGAGAAGAGCATCAGCCAATTAAATGTATTCCTTCAAAGAACAATCCATTAAAAGGTTTTTAAGCACCTTTAAGCACATCTAGCTTTAAGCACTATTGTTTTAAGAGTGGAGAGAGTAATCCAATCCAGTTTGAATGGAAACTCAGCATCAGTGCTGCTGGCCCAGAGCTACAGGTCAAATCCCTGCATAATCTTTACGTCTGTTTCTCTCTCGCTCTCTGTTTCTTGTCTGAAAGGCAGCACCTAAAGCACTCTAGCAGTGGGTTCTTTGAGACAAAGCCACAGAAAAACACTTCTGTGGAGAGATACTTTTATAAGGGAGATGTGTGAGTGTAAAGATCCTTTTTTAAAGTTTAAAGAACTTTAAAGAAGACTTTAAACTCGTTTCCACACCTTAGTACAGAGTCCCACTGGTGACATCCCATATAAATAAAAATAATGCAGGGCCACCCCTTAATAATGCGTAGGAACAAGATGCCATGGCAATGACTTAGTAGGTTGTGGGAACTTAGTAAGTGACTTAGTAAGGCATGGGAACAAGATTATGATCTAAGTCGTGGCCATGCATTAGGATCTCGTTCCCACACCTTACTAAGTCATGACCATGCATTAGGATCTCGTTCCCATGCCTTACTAAGTTGTGGCCATGCATTAGGATCTCATTCCCATGCCTTATTAGGTCGCCATGACATAATTATCTTGTTTCCATGCTTTATTAAGTCATGACTTTTTTTTTATTTATACAGGATGTCATCAGCGGGGCTCCGTACCTTAGTTATGGTCACAACTTAGTAATGCATGGGAACGAGATAATTAAGTCATGGCCATGACTTAGTAAGGTATGGGAATGAGCTTATTATCTCATTCCCACATCTTAGTATGGAGTCCCGCTGGTGACATCCCTTATGAATAAAAATAATGCAGAGCCACATCTTAATAACGTGTGGGAATGAGATCCTAGTTTCCATGCCTTATTAAGTTGTGGCATTATTTTTATTTAAACAGGTCACCAGCAGGGCTCCGTACCTTAATAAGTTATGACCACAACTTAGTAATGCATGGGAACGAGATACTTAAGCCGTGGCCATGACTTAGTAATGTGTGGGAACGAGCTTCTAATGCATGGCCACGGCTTAGTAAGGTGTAGAAATGAGATAGTTAGTCCTTGACCACAGCCTATTAATGCATGATCTTGTTCCCACTCCTTACTAAGTTGTGGCCATGCATTAGGATCTCATTCCCATGCCTTATTAGGTCACCATGACATAATTATCTTGTTTCCATGCCTTATTAAGTCGTGACATTTTTTTATTCATACAGGATGTCACCATACCTTGGTCATTAGTCAATTATCTCGTTCCCACACCTTAGTACGGAGTCCAGCTGGTGACATCCCATATAAATAAAATGAATGCAGGGCCACACCTTAATAACATGTGGGAACAAGATCCTAGTTTCCATTGCTTATTAAGGTGTGGCATTATTTCTCTTTAAATAGGATGTCACCAGCAGGGCTCCGTACCTTAATAAGGTATGGCCACAACTTAGTAATACATAGGAATGAGATGATTAAGTCGCCCTGACTTAGTAAGGCATGGGAACGAGCTTCTAATGCATGGCCACAGCTTAGCAAGGCGTAGGAATGAGATAATTAATCCTTGACCACAGCCTAATAAACCATGATCTTGTTCCATGCCTTACTAAGGCCATGACTTAATTAACTAAAGAATCTCGTTCCCACGTGTTATTATGACGTGGCCACGTGTTGGTGTTATTTATATGGGTTGTCACCAGCAGGGCTCTGTGAGTAACTGTGTTCTGAATACTGTCTTCGCTTGGTCTGAATACAGATACTGAATTCCTGTGTTCTGAATATATAAATTCCAAATACTTGTATCCAAACCCTGATTACGCACAGATGAGCGCGAGCCTGAACATCCTTGTAATCCAGACCCCGAGGCTCGTCTGCGCGCGCCTGTACTCACCGAAGCAGGAGTTGACGAAGCCGTACCACATGCAGCCCCTCCTGCCCACCAGCCACCGTCCGCGCACGCTCGCGGCGAAGCTCAGCGAGGTGCCGAACACGCACACCAGCATGTCGCTCAGGCTGATGTTGAGCAGCAGCAGGTTGACGGGCGTGCGCAGCGTCTTAAACCTGCAGAAGAGCACGAGCACCAGCAGGTTGTTGAGGAAGCCGAAGATCATGATGAAGCCCAGGATAACGGCCACCACGGCGTGGCCAGTGCGGGACAGCCTCTCCTCGGGGGTGTCGCTCCAGTCTGCGTCCAGCGTGGACAGGGCATCCTCCTCTGTCCAGTTGGAGCTGCAGTTCGAGGGGTCCAGCTCATAGATCATCTTCGCTCGGTCCGTTCACTTCACATGGTGAGGGGGACTAAGACTTCTGCATCGGCCCAGCAGCGGTCACTTCGACCCCTCCGGCCATGAGGGGTCATTTGAAATTGTGTGAGCTCAAAGATCGCGCGCGCGGTAACAGGTGTTGCTGGCAAATCACACCGCGAGAGGTTTTCTTAAAAAGCTGCGGACGCGTGACCCCCAGTTACCGCACCAGTTTAATGGGTGTGTAAGAATCTCGTGGTCAGTTTTCTTCCTCGCAAGCAGCCGATCAGTATCTGACCAATGAAAACTGGACCATGTTAACCTTTATTTTAACTTTGGGGGAAGAGCGGAACTTTTCCACGCGCTCAGATCCGCCACCAGGTCCTTTAGTCTGACTGAAGATAAATCCACAGAGAAGCGCGCGCTGCTGCTGACACGCGGCAGAGAAGAAGCGGGTGGAATGAAGGTGTAGTGTTCCCGCGGATTCACGCACAGCTGCGGGATGCTGTGGTGACTGTGAGTGAGAGAGTCTCTGGGCACGAGCTCGAGTCTGTCTCTATTAGAGCGAGCAGGAGAGACTGAGCAACGTGATGACGTCGATGAGTTCATGATGACCATCGAGAGAGAGAGAGAGAGAGAGAGAGAGAGAGAGAGAGAGAGAGAGAGAGAGTTAGAGAGAGAGAATGAAAGGGAGACAGAGAGAGAGGGAGAGAGGAAAGACATAGAAAGAAGGAGAAAGACAGAAAAGGATAGTGAAAAAACAAAAAACAGAGAGGGAAAAGAGAAGAGAGAGAGAGAGAGAGAGAGAGAGAGAGAGAGAGAGAGAGAGAGAGAAACGACTGAAAAGACTGAAAAAGAGGAAAAAAGGTTGTGAAAAATAAAGGAAGAGGGAGGAAGAGAAAGAGAGAGAGAGAGGAAGGAGAAGAAGAAGGGGGCAGAGAAAGACAGAGAGAAAGAGAAAGACAGAAAAGGAATGATGAAAAAAAAGGAAGAGGGAAGAGAGAGAGAAAGAGAGAGAGAGAGAAAGGGACAGAGAAATAGTGAAAGAGAGAAAAAAGACAGGAAGACTGAAAAAAGCAAGAAGAAAATAGTGAAAAATAAAGGAAAAGAGGCAAAGGGAAAAAAGGAGTGATAGAACTAGAGGGAGAGCGAGAGAGTAGAAGAAGAGGGGTGGAGAAAGAGAGAGAGAGAGAAAGAGAGAAAGGAGAAGAAGAAGAAGAGGGGCGGAGAAAGGGAGGGAGACAGGAAAGAGAGAAAAAGATGTAGACAGTAACAGAAGAGAGAAACAAAGGAAGATAAACAGAAATACAGAAAGAGAGAGAGAGATAGAGAGAGAAAGAGGAAGAGAGAGAGAGAGAGGGAAAGAGAGAGAGAGGGGGAGATAGAGAGAGAAAGAGGAAAAGAGAGAGAGAGGGGGGGAGAGAGAGAGAGAGAGAGAGAGAGAGAGAAAGCACCACAGATTTCTTAATTAAATCTGATACGATTGTACAGAAGGAAGAGAAAGCCGTGGCTGAATTGTTGGGATGTTTAAAGGGGGGCAAAATGGCACAATTCCCTTTCCCCCCTTTCATTAGAAGGGGCCACTGCAGAGGAAATGCAGTGCAGCCTTTCTCTTCCTCCTGCTCCCTCTGTTCTGCCCTCCGGAGATAGCATTGATGACAGCTCAGTGCCGTTCAGCCACGGATCCTCTTCATCTCCAATAAGGAACGCAGTTCGGGACCCCAGTGCACGTTTGTCTGAGAGGAACCCAAAGCTACACCAGCACACGTTTCCTCTCATGATGCTAGAAAAGCTGCTTCGCTTAATGAAAGAATGCATTGTTTTGCAGGACCATACTGCTGAATTCAGTGTACAGCACTGTGCAAAATTCAGAGACCACCTTTCATTTACTTTAAGTCCAAATGACCATTAAGTAAGTCATTTTTCAGCATTAGAAAAATGGGGTGGTTCCCTCAAGGGTCCATCTCAGTACCTTTAGTCAGGGACCATAACTGAACCATAATCCACTGAAATGATATTCTCTAAGCTGTACTGACTCCACACACCCCGTCTCGTCTCCAGGACTTTATTTTACTGTTCTGTTTTAAATCATTCGGTTATGAAAAGGTACAAATACGAACTTTTCACCTGGAAAAACTTATTTAAGGTTCACAATCAGACCTTAAACCACTGTTGGACCTTTGAGGGAACATTTACACTGTTTGTATGTTGATGAACGAAAAATGCACCTGAACAGAGCCTTTATTTCTAACAGTCAAAGGAACAATGATTTCCAACTATGTTATGTACTATAATAAACCATATTTTGTACCTTTTCGTAACACAGTGCTTTAAAATACAATAAAATAAAAAGGTGGGAGACAAAACAGCTTAAAATATAATTACAATGGAATATGGTACTATTATGATTCCCAACTAAAGGCTCTGAAGACGTAACCCTTGAGGGTACCACCCATTGATATACATACATATATACCGCGCCAGGCGCGTCAACAGCGCCGCCATTTTAGGGCGGTCAACATCGCTGCTGGACTGCATTCAGTACCATTACAGAGTGGCAGTTTAAGAAAGATTCTGTCCAAAATTACTATTTCAGGAATACTGCTCTCAGAAAGTGGGATAGGATTATATAACGGAGGGAACGCAGCGACCCGCACTCATGTTTGTGTGATGTGTATTGTCTGTGTGGTGTTTGTGTAGATATGGCCGTGTGGTTGGTGATGCACAACGAACCTGTTGATGTGATTGTTTTTCCTCTGGGTTTATATTAAGCTTATTTCATTTAATAGTCTATTCAGGGATCTTAACTTTATGTAGTAGTTATTTATGTACAATGATGGTTAAAGCTTTGTAGTGGTAAGTTATAGCATTCATTAATCTGTGTAGATATTCATAATAGATTAACGTTAGCACCTTCTTACACAAACCTGAAGTCAGCTTCTTATTTGCCAGCTTCTTGTTCGAATTTTCCTGTTCCACCTTAAATGGTGCAGCAGTCACTTTCTGATGTCTGAAGCTGCACCATTTAAGGTGGAATGGGAAAATTCTAGCAAGAAGCTGGCGAATAGGAAGCCAACTTCAGCTTCGTCCTTCTTGCTGTGTTTTGGGAGGTTTATTTTTTTTTTTATGTGTATAAACATTAGAAGTGATTCACACATTGATGGATTTGCTGATGTGTCTGATTGTGTTTCTCATGCTAAACTTGGTTTTTAACGTCAGGTGCAGACTGAATACTTTCCTGCTGGTCCGGGCGGCTAATTATCACGATCAGTTATTAAAGTAATAAAAGCTACCGAGAGCAGATCCGTGCAGAGTAGATTAATCTGTGTCTGAGGATTATAACAAAACAGATTTGGTGAAAATCGGTTGAGTAATAAGGAAGGTGTGGCTGATTTAATCCTGAGACTCATCGTCTCTCAGTACAAGTGAATTTGTTCACAAGTGGATCTTGACCTCTCCAACATGGCAAACGCGCAGACGTATCGCCTCAGATAGAGAACAACAGACAATGCGGCATCTAGGTATGGATATCTATGGTACCACCCCAGTGACAGGAGAGGTACCACCCCAGTGACGGTCCAGTACTTCTTTCTAAGAGTGTATTTGGCAGCTAAACTGCAAAAACAGCTCATTTTGAATTCATTGTTTTTCTAATGTTATGAAAACCAACACATTTACACAAATCCGCTTCTTCAGCCTCTAGCAGTTTAGCTCCGCCCACTCATACTGAAGTTATAAGGAGTGTTTCAGGCTGAGCTTCCTGAATAAGGTGCAATACAGAGCAGCCAGTTGTCCTTTTCCCTTCCTCATGTAGGTGGACTCTGTTAAATCTAAACTGAAAAATGAATTACTTGTATTTAATGTCCACTTTGACTGGACATTAAATAAATGACTGACCTTTGAACAGCACTATACACAATGTGACCGCAGTGCATACAGAGGTGGAACACAAAAAGGTGAAACAATAGACTAGACTAGAATTGAGAATTCAGCTGAGGGATGTTGTTTCCTCCCAGTAGCGGAGCTGTCGTGATGCGCAACGGTCCTTTGCTTTGCTTTGATGTTGGTTAGAATAATGTGAATACAGTCTGATAATCAAAGAACACGGAAAGAGCACTGTTGCGCCACTTTATCTGAGGGACGTTGGGAGGCAGATGCCTACATTTGTGCGTCTTTGAGTTTCTTTTATTTAATAAACCAAAGGAAGGTATGAATACACTGTTGGCTTCTCAACTACATTCCTTATCTGAAGACCAGCCAGCGTGGGTATGAATGGCACGTCTTTTGAGGGTTCTGAATAATTTCAATGGGATAAAAAGTGTTTTTCAGGTTTTTCAGCTGTACAGCGAGGCCAGCATATTGAATTATCATGAATATTTTTGTCAGTGGCACATCTGAATTTCATAACTTTTGTCCTTTTTTTTTTGAATCCTTTGAAAACAACATTTGGCTTTTAAATTTTATGAGCATTATTATACATGTCCCTAACTTACCTCACATTTTATTTCTTTTTTCATTTATATATATATATATATATATATATATATATATATATCATTTCATAACATGTATGTTATTATGCACCAAAACAAGCCCTAATTAATTATTATGTCACCATATTAAATAAACAGGCTACTTATGAAAAACAGCCTGTTTGTTGCTGTGCTTTAAGGACTGAAATATGTAAATGGCCTCTGTTCTGATTGAGCTGCCCTGTATTGTGTCTTAATTATAAAGCAGTCCAGGCTGAAACACTTCTTATAAGATCAATGTAAATGGGTGGGGCCAAACCATTGTAACCTGAATTGAAATAGACTTATGTAAATACAGTGGTGCTTTCAAGTTTGTGAACCACCCTGTTTTATTTAAAGAACAGGAATGATTTTCACAACACATGTTTATTGAAGTGTATCATGGCACAAACAAAGGAGATTTCTGAGGACAAAGAAGAAGAGCTGTTGATGCTCATCAGGCTGGAAAAGGCTACAAAACCATTTCTAAAGAAACACAGTCGGACA